GAGGCAACAAAAAGGTGTCCTACACTAAAGTGGTAACTTTGAAGACTTATAATGTAACCATTGTCCTGAGCCAGGAGCATCCACGCAAGATTCAGGTATTGACAAGAGGAAAATGAGTGGATATATATGGAAGTTTTTGTATCAGGTGGGGGGAGGGGTTGGGGATATCTGTGGTTATTGATACAGTTCCTCCATTCTGATGGCTGTCATAGATTCAGCCAGATGGCAAGCAGACTGAAGGCAAACAGAGTGACAGACCCAAGTTCATGAACTTCCTACACTGAAAATAATGAATTTCTTAGGATGGGAAGAATTTACAGTGTTCTTTGATATGCCAAGGGGCTTGTCTATTCCAGTAAAAAAAACAACAACATAGTGGCTCAGAAATCACGACTGAGTGTCTAAACATCATCCACAAACTTATGGACCTTAATGCACGGTAAACCATATTGACCAGTTTTGCTCCTTACTAAGGAAAGTCAGGGAATGATGTGGAGTTTCAATGAAATTTAGCTACACGAGGCCATCTCCTTTTCTCTGGATGTATCAACACAAGGAAATGGGGATGGATTGGGTCCATGTCACCATAGGCACTGCCAAACAATTACAGGGCTCCTGGCCATTGTGGGCACTGTGTCAATCCACCCCCGATCCCTTCCCTGCAGTGACTAGGAGCTCTCCAGAACCTCAAAGGGCATTGACAACAATGACCGGAAAGGTAAGGTGACAGTCCAGCTAGGTCATTCAGTTGTTGGTTCCTTAAAAGTCTTTATAAGACATAACAGAATAAAGCAATCAAGTAGCCATCAATTTGTAACCATCTATTTTACTAACTGTCTATGAAATCACAGATTTACAGATTGTATAGTCCATAATGTCATGTCCGATGTCTTCATATTAGCAAAGTATCTCAGAGAGCTCATCCAATGATGCATTAAATACCTCTGTAGGAATATGACCGTATACTTTCTCTTGTATCACATTTTAGGTGAATGATGTGTTTGTGAACTTGCCTTTCTACTATGAAGACATGACACCGGCTTACATCCATGGGAATGAGGCCAATCATCAAGACCAATTTTGACCTGACAATAACCTTTGACTGGAAGAGTTATGTCAAATTGTCTGTGCCCAGCACTTATTCCAATGCCTTTTGTGGCCTCTGTGGCAACTACAATACAAACCCCAATGATGATTTGATAATGAAGGATGGGCACCAAGCTTCTAGCATATCCCAGTTTGGAGAGAGCTGGAAGGTGGCAGAGGCCCCAGGTTGCTCTGTGCGTTGCACCACTGACTGCCCAGTATGTGGAGAGGAACAGAAACTAATCTATAAGGGTGACTAATACTGTGGGATCCTCATCAGAAAGGATGGCCCTTTCAGACATTGTCATGGGATCATTGACCCAACTCCCTACTTTGATGGTTGTGTCTTTGATACTTGCCAGTACCATGGTCAGCATGATGCATTGTGTAATGCCATCAGTGTTTATTT